TTGCCAACATGGCTTTACGGTTGAGATTATATCGCCAACTGTTGGCTTGGCATGCTCTTGACAGTGCTTCATAGCATGCTTTCGCGTTTTCATGTGGACGGAGATTTTTTTTTTAAACGGAAGAAGGAAAAACTCCATTTATAAAAATACCTGTGTACGTGTGGACATGGTCTTATAGATTCCTTTGTGAAAGCCTGAAGCATCCATAAGCAACGTTCTGATGAATATTATATTATAGATGTGGGACTGATGCTGACCTATAACTCTGATCCTTTCTCAGGTCAGTATGAAGAGTTTCTCAGTCTATATTATCATGTGTGTTATATGATTCAGTGTGCTCACCCTGCTGACCCACTTTCAATATGCCATTAAAATAACTAAAGCACTATAATACTGCAAACCACCCACCCTTAAAAATAAAGAAAAAATAAAAATTCCTGCTTATTTTCCTGATGTGCTTTGAAGCACTGCTCTTTTATTTCTCGCTTGAGGTTGTTGTTGCTTTCTTTGAATTCATCCAATCTAAGGCCTTATTCTTGGGGTTCCCGGTCTCTAGCGGCTCTCTGGGACTGACACTGTGTGCTCAATGAAATCACATATGAACTCAGAGTGGCTCTGCCATATGAACTAATTCTTTAAATATAAATACAGATATTTACAATTTGATAATCATATGTATCATGTCTGGATTCATTTTCAGCTCAGACAAGCAAACACACTGTTCAAGAACTGCATGAAAGAAAGTCTGCAATGCTTTTTTCATCCTGCATTTGAAAGTATTAATATTTCAATCAATAAATCAATCAATATTTAAGAAGTTTGGAATACCTTAATATGTTTTCACATTCAAATAGTCAATGTTTTTGAAAACTACTTTGTGAAGTAATACAGCAATGTAAAGAATATGGTCTAATAATAATAATAATAACATCTATCTAGCTATCTATCTGTCTATCTGTCTGTTTGTTTGTTTGTTATTTTATGTAATTTTATTCATGACATAGACAATCCTGTCACCTGAGCAACACTACAGACACCTTTCATGGTTTTTCATCCTTTCATGTAGCACTTCAAGATAATAAATTGTGATGGTAACACTGCCAGACTACAATTGTCATTTCAGTTGTTGATTAGGTCATCTGCGTGTTTGCTACATACATCCATATATCCATATGAAAACTGTGCTGTCATAAATGCTAAGTTCAAAGCGTCACATCTGCACTATCTCATCATCAACAGATGGACGCCTCATATGTTATCTTTGCACACATTCCCAGCTCCCATGGGACAGACAGGTGATACATATGTAATGAATGTGAAGCTTGTCGAGTGCTGATGTTGACTGTCAACTTATTCCAGTATCTCTTTCACTGGTTATCTATCTGCATCAGCATCCGTTAACACCAAAACACTCTCTCAGCGAAGATTCTTCAGCATGATAGATCAGGGATCCCCCGAGCAAAGAGTAAACACATCAAGATTTACATCAAACACAAACTGCTTATAAAGAAATAGAGTGTAGCCTGTGACAGCCTTAGAGGAAGAGCATGCATCCACACACATTCACAGTCATCTGTAACTTACTGTCCTTTAACACTGTTTTTAAAACGTACATAAAATATTTTAATAAAACATTCAAGTCTCCCAGTCACTGATTTTTACAAAAATTGTGTGATTTACAATTCCGTTGTTAAAAACTGTTTAGCCAAAACCAGATAAAAAAACAGGGCAATTATACCTATAAGCGCCAGCGGGTCAAATTTACCCACTATATAATGCCTGTATGTTTGCGCTGTCATTTTCATGCCACTTATGTTTTAACATAGTACATTGCTAGGCAACGCCTTTCACTCACTGAATTAGCAGTTATCAGTTTCATAAATAAAGACAAAATGAGTAAAAGAAGGCGATGCTGAAGAGGTATAAGAAGCACTAAATGCCATGAGTGATGGAGAGTCTGATGGTCGGGAGATATGTAAAGCGTCCTGTCGGCTCAGCATCTGACAGCCATCAATATATCATATTTAGACGTTTTATCCTGATGTTACTCATAATTGTTCAAAATTTGGATTATTTAATCTTTGTTTTGCAATTTCTATCGTTTATTGTTCGCTTCTGTTTTGCTATTTATTCTAGTCTGCCTGTTTCCTGAAGAAAATAAATCCGATCTGATGTAGGCTAATGAATAAAACTTTTTTTTTTGATTACCCGAAGTTTATTGGTGTTCTTCTTGTATAATTCAAATGATAAATTATATAACTAAATAAATTAATAATTAGGTGAAGCTGTGCGCTTGAATTTTTTCATCGCGTCATCCTATGCAATGTGGTGAATTAGGCCTATTATTGCTCATTATTGTTTATAGGCTATTTTAGTCATTTAAATAACATAAATCTTAATATATTGTTATCTTAATATATCGATTAATGACATTGTATTATAATAGCCTATTACACCACCCAAACATGTATTTACTTCCTTCTAATTCTCGTTGTCAGTGCAGGCTTGTTTAGCTTAATATTGACCGTTATGTAAAGTGACTAGTATAGCCTGCATAAAAAAGCATTGAACATAAAACAACAGGACACAAATATAGTTGATGACTAGACATAATCATTTCATGACTCTAGACACTTTTTTGTGAAGACAGTAGCATAATACAGTGAAATAATATGTTCTTTAGCCATTCAAAAACAGCTGTCATGTGCGTGGGTAAAATTTACCCGCTGGCGCTTTTAGGTATACAGCGACCCCTGGCGGTTCTAGTGTTAATGCCTGATGCACTTCAAGTAAAATCGAAGAATGAACTGGTGTGACGTCGTTTAGAACAAAATCAGGGATAAACAAGGTTTGTTTTAGGAGTTTGAAACAGCTTACCAAAGTGAAGTTACTAGAAAAACTGCTGGTAAACACCTCCGATCTACCGTGGGTCTGTGGCAACTACATAATACTGTAAATAATCTGCCTTATATGATGTGGAAATCTTCTCACATTCATTTATTCTGTTCAGTCTGTCACGGTCAGACATGAGTAAAAACATGAACACACTGAAGAGCTGGTTTACAGTAGACATTTCATTTGGAATTCCATTTGAAAGCAACACTGACAATGATTTGTTTCATGTTTAATACTCTAGAGCCATTTGTTTCAAAGCAATATATCATATAATGTTATATAAATAAAAGTGATGTGACTGGAGTGCCAGTGCCATTACACTCCCATGTTTTGTTTTGTACACAACAAACTCAGATAAACATTTCTACACATGAAACGTGAATGTAATAAACACTATTTTGACAACAGGTGTTTCATGTGTTTTGGATGTTTTTTTATAAGAATAAAGGATTTTTACATGAGAAATGCTAAGCATTTAATACATACAAATAACATAATTCTGCTTCATTTTAGGATTGAAATCCACATTAGATCGAAATTATTAAAAAACACTCAATGGTGGTTTATAGTGAGATTTTAGTAAAAGCTTAGTATTAATCTCATAAATTGAGCACAAAAATCCAAAACAGAGCACAACAATCCCAAGGATTTAAACAGGAGAGACCTGAGCTGCATCAATGGCCATGAACACACTAAGTTTCACGAGTGACAACCGGATTTAAATGGTAGTGAATCTTCTAAATTATAATTGTGTGCGTGTGTATGGAATCTTCTGCCGTCTCGCACTTCTGCCTTTGATTTTTGATCAGTGTGATATTACAGTGACCAAAACCTCATTATGTTCTGCAATGTTAACTAAACCACTGCTGACGGAGCCATTGTGTTTTGTTTATGTTTGAAAAAAAAAAGCAGCTTCACTTCACAGAGCGCGCTCTTGAAGGATTGTCATGTCCACATATTATAAGCAATGTTTACCAAGCGTTGTTGGGCTTGTTGTTTGCGCTTGGCTCATAAAGCTATCCAGTTTATGGAGATAACAAAGTAGGCAGATGCAGGTAGAGATATTTTAGTATGTGGATTATTTCCAAGATAATATCATGTCTGGATTTGAGTTTATTATATAGGCTTGTTCTTATTTACCAATGTAATAATACAATGACCAAAGACTCGTTATGCAATTTTAACTAAACCACAATCAACAGAGCTATCGTGTTTTATTTATGTTTGGAAAGAGTGCGCTCTTAAATGGTTGCCATATCCTATTATAAGCGCTGCTTATTATTAAGCATATTTTGGGATTGTTGTTTGGGCTCGGCTCATTTAGTGATCCCGGTTGTGGAGTTAATAAAGTAGGCAGATGCAGGTCACAATATTTGCCTTATTTCATAATAACACATTTGGATTTGATCTTATTTTGGGCATTTTTTAGGAAGATCTGGCAACACTAATGAGAGATTTCTTGTGCTGCCACTACAGAAAAGATACAACTCTGATGCACGTTTAAATTCATTGTTAACTAGCTGTTAAGTTCGCTTCTGTATACACAGCATATACATTTTGTAAATGCGGTTGTCACTACCTGAATTTTTCAGGAGTCTGTTCGGTTGTAGAATGAGGTTGTCAATCCTGAACTGTGTGTGTACAGAACAGCATCAAACACTAAAAGGTGAACTGACAACTGAATTTAGCTGCAGTGTGTACATGGGCAATGAAACTTTTGACTTGGTCATGTGATTGGACAGCATAGAATACCCTAGCAACCACAAGACAACACCGTGACAAACACCCACAATGTACTACTTTTTGCACAAGCAAGAAAATATAACAGTCCAGCTTGACTTTGTCTTGTTTTAGAATTTGTGTCAGTTTGACATGTGTGTTTAATGGGTGTCTTATTGAATTCTATGACGCTGCCTTGGCAACCCTAATTAACAGCCTTTCCTTTTTGAGCAGCTGCTTTGTTCATCACATAATAACTCGCCAGTGAGAACTGTACTGTACATGTGGTCTCAAAAGTTTTGATGGTTACCTGGTAACAGAAAGTCCAGACCAGCACGCAGACGATGATCTCTGTGTCCGTCTCTCTCATCCCAAATCATTCACAGTGCCCAGAAGGACTGAGGCCCATGAAGGACGGTTCAGGCTGCTATGATTACTCTCTGGGAACGGACTGTACGGACGGCTTCAACGGAGGCTGTGAGCAGCTGTGTCTTCAGCAGCTGGTTCCTCTTCCTGATGACCTGACGTCCAGCAATGTCCTCATGTTCTGCGGGTGAGAGAAAGCACACATGCATGAATTTGAATACAAGGACATAAAGAGCACATGCATCCATCCAAAGAATGGTGACATTATTACTTTCCCACATAATTATATATATATATATATATATATATATATATACACACACACACAATTTTATAAGCTTCTTCATCTACCCAGAGAATGTGCATATTTAAAATTATATAAATTTAAGTTTAAAATATATGGCAATATCATTCATAATAGGACAATATATGTCATATATTAAATTTCTGTATGAGAATTAAATTGATTAAAAGTGACCATAAAAATTTACGTTACAAAAGATTTAAATTTCTATTTTGAATATATTTCAATTTCAAATAAATGTTGTTCTTTTTAACTTTCTATTCAAACAAAGAATTCTGAAGAATGTATCACAGTTTCCAAAAAAATTATAATTTCCCCCAAAAAATATTAAATATTTAATTTTTAAGTATGAAACAATAATTTAAATATATTAAATTTTTAATTATCCTTAATTTTAAATTATTATTGTTGCACAGAGTTGAGCTGCTAAAGAATTAGAATGATTTCTGAAGGATCATGTGACACTGAACTGAGGACTGGAGTAATGACGCTAAAAAGTCAGCTTTGATCACTGGAATAAACTACATTTTAAAATAAATTACAATGGAAAACAGTTATTTTAAATTAAAATAATATTTCACAGTATTACTGATTTTACTGTATTTTTTGATCCAGTAAATTCAGCCTTGGTTAGAAAAAGAGACTTCTTTCAAAAACATTGCTCAATCTTCTAGTGGTAAATTGGACACAAGCATGCTTGATGTTCAAGGTTTCAATTATGCAAATTTATTTGTGAATAAAAAAAAAGGAACAAACATCTTTGTGGTTTGGATCTTTTTTTTCCCCTTTTTTTCTAATCTTGTCGCTGTCTCTAATTTTTTTTCCCTAAAACTCTCACAGTTACATGACAGAATTCAGCTGATACTGTATGAGTGTGTATTGTATTGATGTAAAGTTCAACATACATTTAATTATTTTCACTTAATTACCATGTTATCATCTGAATGTAAACACGATATTTTTGTGTGTGTGTTTGTGTGTGTGTGTGTGTGTGTGTGTGTTTGTGTGATCAGGTGTGTGCAGGAATACAAGCTAGCCGCTGACGGCCGCTCCTGTCTTCTTCTGGCTGATCACTGTGAAGGGCCAAAGTGTCCGAAACAAGACTCACGCTTCAACGACACGCTCTTCAGCGAGATGCTCCGCGGGTACAATAACAAAACTCAACAGGTGATCCTGGGACAAGTTTTTCAGATGACCTTCAGGTGAGTTTTTGTGGAGTATTCTTTATTTTGGGGAATTTGATCTTTAAAAGATGGATGTATTTTGAGTGCAAGAGTCAGGTTCTGGAAGTGCATTTACAGAAATAAGACTTTGTACACTAACATATGACTTTCTCTAAAAGTGTATTATTTGTTGTTACCGGTAAGTGTGCACTTGACATCAAACATGATTCCATTGGTAATCTCTTTTCAAATCACATTTCTTTTTGCATATGAACTGTTACCAGCAGCTTCTTTTTGTTTTATTCATTACCACAATGTCACCACCAGAGATTACTTAATTACTTTGAGCCAATAAATTTACTCAAATTATCTCTATATTGATACCACTGCTAGTTTATATCTCACAATTCTGACTTTACTGAATTGTGAGATTCAAACTGAAAAGTGATATTTTATTTTATTTTATTTTATTTTACTTTACTTTGTTTTATTTAATTTTTTATTCTATTATATTATATTCTATTGTAGCAAATTAGCTCAAAAGGGAAATGTATATAAATAATTACAGTTAATTATGATTAATTACAATTATTTATATCAGCTGCCAGTAGTAACTGTAGCAGAATTAAATTGCCATCAACTAATCTGTTCGTCCAGCGAACATTCAGTGTAAGTTCATATCAACTCTAGGAAAGGATATTTCTGTTGCCATAGTTTTGTAGTAATGCATTAGAGCACTGTTTCTCAACCAGTGGGTCGAGGATCATTCCGTAGGGGGTCGCGAGACTTTCTCTGTGTTCTCGGTGTTACACCGGCACAGTAAGTGCGCTTCACAAAAGTCTCATTGAAACAGTGACCTCCTACGAATCGTATTTTCGAATGTCGCATGTTGAACCATTATTGCCGTAACTTTCTAACGCTGTTTCTAAACTGCCCATCACAATAATTTATCGCTGCCGCGAACGCCGTGAGGTACTAGGGCAAAGTGCTGCTAACAAAATAAAAGAAATCCCACTCTCCAACGACACTGTCTCCAGGCGGATTATAGACATGAGCAATGATTTTGAAATGCAACTTTTGGATCGAGTGCGAGCAAGCCCCTTGTTTGCCATTCAAATTGACGAATCAACAGATATTTCAAAGATGGCATTGTTGCTTGCATTTGTATGATACAACTGGGAAGGTGCAACACATGAGGATCTACTCATGTGTAATGAGCTCCCAACACGGACGGCAGCAGATGAGTGTTTCCGTTGCCTCAATGGCTATTTCGCACAGAATGGGCTGGATTGGAAGAATTGCATAGGCATTTGCACGGATGGCTGGCAAACATAGTGGGGTTGTGAGGAAACTTTTGGACAGAGCACCTGAGGCGACATGGGTTCACTGCTTTATACACCGTGAAAGCCTCGCAGCCAAAGAAATGTCAGTGCCCTTAAATGAGGTGATGGACATTGCTGTCAAAACAATTAATCTAGTGAAGAACAGTGCTCTCAGTTCCCGCTTGTTTTCAATTTTGTGCGACCAGCTGGAATCAGACCACCGCCAGTTGTTATATCATAATGAAATTAGGTGGCTGTCACGGGGAAAAGTTCTTAATCGTCTTTCCGAAATGCGCAAGCAGGTGCACACATTTCTGGAGGAGAATCGGTCTCCCCTGGCAAAGCATTATACGGAGGCTGAATTTCTTGTGAAACTGGCATACATGTCAGATATCTTTGACCAGCTAAACCTATCCTTTAAGGGAAGAAACAACGGTGTTTTCTTGATGGCTGACAAAATTTAAGCATTCAAACGGAAGTTGGTATTCTGGGAGAAGAGAGTGCAGGAGAACATTTTGCGCAAGCAGGTGCACACATTTCTGGAGGAGAAACGGTCTCCCCTGGCAAAGCATTATACGGAGGCTGAATTTCTTGTGAAACTGGCATACATGTCAGATATCTTTGACCAGCTAAACCTATCCTTTAAGGGAAGAAACAACGGTGTTTTCTTGATGGCTGACAAAATTGAAGCATTCAAACGGAAGTTGGCATTGTGGGAGAAGAGAGTGCAGGAGAACATTTTTGACATGTTTCCTAACCTTACTGATGTTCTGCAGGAATTCCCTCACATCAGCACCGACATATAGAGAATTGTCCGGGACCACCTGACCAGATTAACACAGAAATTCTCCAAATATTTTCCCAACGACCGAAAAGTTTGGAATGCGTGTATTCGCAATCCTTTTTCAGTAGACCCAAGTGATGTGGATGTTGTACTCCCCATTAATTTGCAAACGCAGTTAGTGGAACTTGCATCTGATGGCAGCCTGCAGCTTGCTTTTCGCAAGACAGACCTGAGCTCCTTCTGGATTCAAACCAGACACGAATATCCAGAACTTGCAGATCGTGCAACGAAGTTTCTCTTACCATTTAGCACTACCTATCTTTGCGAGTCGGGATTTTCAACAGTGACTGCAATGAAAACAAAAAGCAGGAATAGGCTGACAACAGCTAGTTTGTGTGCGACACTATGAGTGGCCCTTTCCTGAACTCCACCGCGTTTGGATATCATAATTTCAGAGCGGCAGTCTCAAATGTCACATTAACGTGAGTAAAAATAAATAAATCAGTTTGCCTCATAGCCTAATTATTGAAAGTGTTTGTGTGTTTTTGTGAAATTAATTATAATAAGCATATACGGTGTAGCCTAGGTCTAAAGAGGCATTTCAGTTATTTATTTATTTCCAGCCTTAGTGGGTCGTATGACTGGCATACAAAAAAAGTGGGTCGCAGTAGGCAAAAGGTTGAGAAACCCTGCATTAGAGCATGTAGTAAGAATCAAAATCGTAAAGGGACATTAATTTGCAAGGCAGAATCAGAAACTCATGTAATTTGTGCACAAGAGTTTTTATTAACTAAATACTAACACAAACTAGTCTAACAAACAAACAAACACCGTTTTAGAACGGGGTCTACAGCTTATACTAAACCTCTGTTTCATTTAGTTAAATGTACAATACTTGCATTGCCTTGGCCTGGAACGAGCGTACGGATGCAGTCTTGATGGTTTGGAGGTTCGGTGGTGTAGGTGTCGCGATCACCTTCTTCCGGGTTTGAAGAGTGATGAACTACAAAGATGTTCTGACTCGATGGTGATTGGGAGTTTCTTCACCAGTGGAAAGTGAAAAAGATCTAACGGAGACATCAGCTGAGATCTAGGATCCTAGGATCTTTGATGAATGTAAAGACAAGGCCGAAGCCTGGTGCAGAATTAAGAGTTGCAGAAGCGTTCTAGCTCACATACTCATCTTCTCAGAATCTAACAGAACCGCAGACTGACTGAGATAGGTCACTGACGTGAGAGCTTTATCTCCTATTGAGCTCACACCTCCGGGAGGTCACCGAGCCAATGGTGGCTTTCACTTTTGGAGGGAAAATTTACGTCTCTTTGTCTTAGAGCATGGTATTTTGCATATGTAATTTGATTGGGTGTTGATGCAAAAACTACTAAAGATTCTTAGAACACTAATATGTTGCATAGGTATAAACATATAATATACACTCTCAATTAGATCGTCCGAAGACGAATTCATAGCGACCAAACATGGTATATGTAAGGTTACATGAATGAGTGGTTCTATCATAAGCATGCATAAAACAGTATACAATACAAACGACAATATACAAGAACAGTAACAACATACACAATGATCTGAAGTATATGTGTGTTCATTCAAAGAAAGGTTTTCCTATGAATTAATTAGAGAAGAGTTCATTTTTATAGGCATTATGTGTCTGTTTTAGAGAGACTTGAGTAAGAGTTGATTTTCTCTAAATACTTTTAGGTCGTAAAAGTTTCTGATCTGGCTGAGGGGTCCTGGTTGTCATGGTAACCATGGGCCTGGGGTCATTCCCAGACATGCTGGCACCCAGTATGTTTATTGGGTGAGGGGTCTGTGATTATCTGTTAATCTTATGAATAACTGATTTGTTAAATCTAATGAACAAATGTGTGTCTGATTGGTCCAAATGCTACACTATTCTATTCTGTGGCAGAATCAGGCTTCCATTGTATGACATCACATTACAGAATGCCATTTTTTAGTGTAATTTATGCGTTATCCAATTTGAAATATTTTTTTCTTTATTTTTCAACAGTTTCATATTTTTGTATTTTAATATACTCAACAAAGGCTGTGATACTATTGACAAACCTCACACTCACAGAATATATTTATGTGTAAAATAAATTTAAACAAGTTAAAAAAGTTAAATTTACGGTAAAAAAAACGGCAGCTGTGGTTGCTGGAATTTTACGGTAAAGAATACGGTAGCAATGTTTTAGGTTTTACGGTTTTAACTTAAATTTACAGTTAAATACCGTAATTTCATTAACTGATATAATGTTAATATACCAACCTATTGAAGTACTGAAATCTGTTTTGTACCTTTGTAATACACTGATAACCACCAAATGCAGGCGGTGATGAGAAAGTCACATGATGAACCAAAGCCCATCACAAGCAGCTTTTTAAATAATAACATATATAGAAGGTGCACAGTGTCATTCACACAAACACTAAACACCATCATGGTAACACACATGAAACTGAAATAATGCAATAAACATTAATTTAACAACATTAGGTGTAACACACAACCCTAATATACAAAACTGATGAGAAAAAACTAAGAAGAAACATAGTTATTTCAACAAAAAAACATCAAATTTGAAATGTAACGCAGGGAATTCTGGGAATGTCAATTTACGGTTATTCACTGTAAATTATAGTCTTTTTTCACTTCCAAAAACAGTATACTACCGTAAAATTAATGTCCAATACATGTAATGTCCAATTCAGTTTTTCACCGTGTATAGTAGGAGAATTTACCGTTAACCATTTAACAGGTATTTACTGTAGCATTTTTACAGTATTTTACCATTCACAACATTGAAATAATCACAGAATAGTTTACATCTACAGTGATGTCTGCACTAGCCACCAAATATAGTTAAAATAATTTAATTTCTTCTGGAACAAGTGGATGGGCTAATTC